GGTAGAAACCTGCTCTGGACGTCTGTTTGTATGGCTGCTGACTGTCTCGCACCTGCTCACCTGCACTTTTCCTGTTTTTGACTTGTTAAATTTGTCAAAGCAGAACATCTCTGCATCGCTCCACACAGACACTAAGGAAGAGATCATCTATATTAGCTCATTTAAAACTGATTGAATGTTATTTTGAGTATTTTTCTGAAACAGATGTACGGATATTTGGAGGGCTGAAACTGCCACATTAGTCATTTCATTGTATTTCTGTATAGTTCTTGTGCAAAAGTCTTGGACCACTTTTCATTTCTCTGTATTTCTTGGATTAGGTGCAGCAATTTAATGAAATGTGCAAACATACATAGAAATGAACATGAGAGTTTGTACAGCTCCAACGAACCTGAGCAGATGTTTGTCATGAGCAGCTTTATTTTCAGCACAAACTGAACTCTGTCTCTCAGTATGTTCAGTTCTCCACAAGCACAGGTTGACCAAAGTGTTGTACATGGTATAAAAAAAAAAGCAGAGCAAACACACACAAAGAACAAAACAAAACTCAGTCATGACTTAAAGCTGGCGAGTAACAGTGTGTGTTCAGACGGGTTTGAAGATGTTGAGTGTTGGAGGGATCCTAATTTGAAGAAAGTTGCCCAAAGTTTGGGCGCAGCAATCACAAAGGTCTCCTCTGTGTTTTAGCCTGTAGGGACGATCAGAAGCTGACCTGAGACTCGTTTATCTACAAAATATTTTATTTAAATGTACAATGTCACAAAATATCAGAATCTTTTTAATGTTTGCTGTTATTATAGGATGTTTATCTTTTTTTATTTTTGAAACAGTTTTAACCACCCACTTCACTCCATTATATGATGGTCATAGAATTAGAGTTGATATTAACTATTTATCCAAACTTCAAGCAGTTGTAGACAAATAGGCAAACAAACCTATACAGGAAGTTGATTTCAGCTCTCGGACTAAAAAGTCTTAATGCCTGATCTTATGAGACTTACCCAGGACATAATGCAGGCTTCTGGGGCTGATGTGGGTGAGGGGACTCGCCCAGCCTGACTGCCTGATGTCCAGTGTCTCTCCTCTCCATCGTGGCTCCTGTTAACCACCATGGTTTTAGA